AGATTCTTAAAATGTTTAAAAATATCTTTTTACAAAATGAACTGTCAAAGAATTAGGTAGTACCACAGAAGTAGACAGGTGCTTCAAGCATTCATTTAATCACAAAAGAGAAAGTAAAGTTAGCTTGGAAATCATTGCAGTGACCTCAGCTTGAGATGTTATTTAGCATGTTAAATAGTTAAATACTGTTTCCTGCTGAGTAATACAGTATCTCAGATAGAAATAATACATAAAATTTTGCTTTTGTTTTTCACTAGCTTTATACTACTAGTTAATGTAAGTCCTGGTTCACATGAGTGAGAGCTTTAAGGTTACAAGTGCTACAACTGGGAAATCTGAATCAACAGGTTAAAGCCCTAGGTTCATGAAACCCCAGTACACCTTTGCAGTAAAGTCCGTTTTACCATTGTTTCAGTGTTTCTTTGAGGAAGGATTTGTGGTTTTGTTCTTTGTTAATACAATGCCTCACACAACTGGTTTGTGATCACAGATTTGTGTCTCACTAGTGCTGCAGCAATCAAAGGAAAATAATAAACAGCATTCTAAGGCTCTGTTACTATAAGTTGATTGTCCAAAGCCACAGAGCAAAATGATGCAGAGACAGATTTAGCACAGAAAAAGTTTCTGTTACCCAGTCTCAATCTCAAACCATTATTTTGCTTCTCTCTAGCAAATGACTTTGTCTGATATTCTTCAATACATCACATATGTCTTGCCAGGCCACTAAGAGCACCTCTGCTCTTCTGAGTCACTACAAAGGCGGTTGGACAGCAAGCAGCTCCTTTCTTCTCAGTTTGGCTCTCACAAGGAAGCCCTTGGAAATGCACAAGTAAACCCTGGGAGTCAGGCAGATGTGTTAGGTGATGGGCAGACTAGCAGGTTTCAGGACTGGGAAGGACCCAGCATAGGATGCAGACTGAGCACCTGAAAAGGAGTCGGTAGCATGATGTTAGCATTAATGTTTTATTTTTTTTCTGACAAATGTTGAAAAATAATTCATTGTTACAAACTGCATTATTAACATGCAAAAAATCACCCATTCAGAAGACAAGTTTATTAGTTCAGGCCTTTGTGAGGGTCCAGGAATGTTTCTTTATGTTAGCTGGTCTATGTCCTGAGAGAAACCTCTAGCTATCTCTCTAGATTTCATGAGGAATTTCAGAGGTAGGACCATATTTGGATGCACACCCACCCCTTGCAGTACATCCTTAAACACAAGTGCTTCACCTTGATGTGTGGTCATGGTATTCTGGCTTTGCATTTAACTCTCTTGGGCTCTTTTTCAGAGAAATACTTTCCTTAGCTTGGGAGAAGACAGTACTGAACCCAGCCTGTATCCCTCCTATCTGACATGATTGCTTCCAGCAAAATCAATGGAATTATTTGTGCAGGATATGGTCCAGAGTTAAGAAATTCTTTAAAGCAAGGGAGCAAAAATATGTGTGTCTTTATATGCTGGAATTTATCCATTTTCAGGCACAGACAAAGGGAGTATTAAGGATCATGAGAGAGTTCTATAGTGTGCAAGGGAGTGAGGCACTGAACATGGTGGGGTGGAAGAGAATAGGATAGGAAAGGAAAGGAAATAATCTGAGTCAGGCAAATAGGATAATTATCCAAATAACTTCTTCAAATCTGTTTCAAGGTGCCTAATTAGAGGCCTAGCTGGAGCACTTGGTTTTAGGTTGGGGATTTCTTGAAGTTACATTTTAAGTAATTAAATTATTATAAAAATAATATTAGAGGTGGGCACAGGCTTCAAATATGTTACATTATTCTGAAAAAACAAACTAATTAAAAATAATTTCCTCTGCTGTTTCTTTGCCAAGACCTATTTTCAGGACTCTGTGCTTCCCCTCAAGAAGCCAGTGAAATCTCAGGCACCTAAAACAAATAGAGGCACTATACTCAGGACTCGGCTGGTTAAAAACAAAAAGAGGAAAATATTTCTCTTTTTTTTATTATTATCATTTTTATATTTGTGCACATTTTGCTGTTAATTTTGGCTGGTAAATACTTCTCTTTGTAAAACAACAACTTAACCATTCACCTTTCATATGCCATTAAACTCAGATCCTGTGTAATCTTAGGTTTCTGTGCTGGCTGTTTCCAAGACACAGAGCAATTCTCTATTAACCTTGGATGTGAGGCACATCTGGGTTGAACAAGGACAGTGTAAATCTTGCCCCTGCTTACCCAGGGCTGTCATGCTCAGTGAGCAGAATGATGTTTTCTGCAGATCTCCTCTTGTGTGCCTGCCACCACAGAGGCAGAGTTCATCCCAGTGGCACATCAAGGTGTAGGACTAGTGTCTCCTACACATAGGTTCAGTCTGCCTCTCCCAGAATCAAAAATGTCAGTGGTGGAGCCTCTTATTCTGCAGAATGGCTGCCAGAGAGATGATTGATGCTGAGTTTGATTTGTTTGGATTTTCCTCATTTTTATTTACTTTAGTATCTCATAATGCCTATCTTGTTGTCTGTAGGATTGCTAAAATGCGAGTAAAATTTTTGTGTGAATTGAGTTTTAAGTGAGGATTTTAAAAAGAAATGTAACAGTTTAATTTTTATTCCTAGTAGTTTGTAATGCTTTTCTAATTCATTGGGGGTTTTGTGTTTGTTTACAAAATCACTGTATGATCACTCAGATGTCTCAAACATGGTGATAGATTCCTCTGTAAGGCATTTCCCATCCCACTGTCATGGGAGCTGCTGGGCAGCCAGCTGAAGAGTAGTTGGGTCATTAGACTCTCATTGAAAACACATAAATAAATGTATTTTAGTGTTCTTGTATGTTCTCTGAACCAAATGTGATATAAAAGTTATGTATGTGATCTCAGGTTGGGTTTATGTAAGAAAAGAGTTTAAAAAGATACTGAATTCTTCAGTAGCGTATCATGGCTGTAGAAACCTTGCCTTTGACTAAGAAAATGTCCGGCAAGGTTAGGTTGGTGAAAGTCATGGCAGAAGCACAAATATTTTAAGATACGGGCAGGAGAATGATTTACCATGGGCAAGGTCATATGTAGCTTTGCAGTTTGTCAGCCTCCTTGCATGAGTCTTGTCAGTGTGGAGGAAGTTCCCAGTTTTCCCACTTGGAAAGCAGGACAAGCTGCCTTCCATGTTTTGCAAGGTTGTGAGTAAGAGATGGGCCCCATTTTACATCAGGTCAGCTTCCTTGTCCCGTTTTATATTCTCCGTCACTGTTCAGTTTGGTTAAGGCCATTTAGCCTGACTGTGTTTCCATGCATGCAGGATAAACGATGCTCTCAGGAAGTGATGAGAATGTTGCTCAGATGCTTTTAACCATGCTGAGACACTTCTTATTATGCAACCTTTAAATGCCACAGTGTCACTGGTGGGTGAAGTTATTGCTGTCTGGTGCAATTGTGTAGTGCAAAAATTAAAACTGTAAATTGTTTTTGTTTCAGCCCTATTTTATGTAAACTTTGCATCCTCCCCAAAAGAATGTGAGGACTGCAAAGAGAAACATGCAGGAGTTGGGAAATAGAGAAGTGTCTACTCTTGCTTTTGTGCATCATCTCTTCAATTATATGAATTATGCAATAATTTCTACTAGCTTCCCATCCTTCTGATTGCACAGGATGCATAGTGTTAGGAAGTAGCATCAGATTTGTGAAGTAGAAGCTATCTGTATCCAAAGGCACCCAAGCCATTTTTTTTGCAAGTGGAGGCAGCATTATGAATGAAGAAAGGAATTACAGATGGAAAGATGAAGCTGTTCCCTTCCTTTTCTCTGCATAGCAGTAGCCTGTAGCCAAATATTTGAGCTGAGATATTCAAAGGAAGCTTCTAATAATGAATACAGAGTTTTGGAGGGTTTAGAAAGTGACCCCTGTAAGTTCTTTGCAAAAGATGCAGAGCATGCATGATAATGATTTGAGACATGCTTTGAACTTCTCATCTGATTGGCAATGCAAAGTACCCTGGAGAAGTCAAGTTTCTGCTATTTCCAGCTGAGTATTCAAGATCAGCTGATACTTCTGATAATTTTGATTTTCTGTTTCTGGTTTTGTGCCCAGTTAAAAGGCAAGGACCTCCTTTTTGAAGGTATAGAAGAAGCAATGTCACAGTGCTGGTGGTAGACCAGACCACTGTACAAAGAAACTAGATTAAAGTGTCCATATAAATGTTTATCACCTCTCTCAGAGCATGGCTTGGTCACTTCATACTCGCTAGATTTGTTTTAAGTCCTTATTAACTATTCATGCCAGTGACTTCTCCTTCTAGCCTCTCAAACTCTTTGAGCTCCACACCACTCCTTATCTCTGCCTTACTATTTTGCTCCTCTGCTTTTTCTTTTCACTACATCTTGGGTCTGGTGGCTTCCAGAGAGAAGCTGTGCCTTATGGAGGGGGACCCTCTCGGTTCTGCACTTGGGACCATGTATTTGCCCCTTCACCACCATGTCCCACTTAAGCTGTGTGTATTGCCATGGAGAAACATCTGTGAGGATGGCAGATACCGCATCCCACCAGCACAGAGGAAGGCTCTACCACATTCATGGAGAAGTGAATCTATCCAGCCTGTGCAAGCAGATTTTTTTCAAAGGCTTATAGCTTAGCCAAATTTGAGCAACTTTTAATAAAAACTTTTCCCCTGCCAGAATTTTTCCTTTCTCCAAAACATGGAGGCAGTGGAGCATTTTAATGAAACAGTTATTAGAGAAAAAAAAAACCAACAACAAACTAGGAATAATAACATGTTTTTCTCTCAGTTGTTCTCAGAAAAGTTCTTCTGTTGTTCTCAGAAATGGCTGAACCAGTTCAGCCTGATTTATTTATTTTGGAATGAATCAGCTGAGAGAAACTTTCAGCATGGGAAATTTCAGCCCAATGGGTTAGCGTTACTCAAAGTTTGGCGAAGTTTAATGCAAGTGGAAATGTTCTTATACTGAGAAGTCAAAGGCAAGCTTACATATCAGCAGTGTTAGGACAGAAAAAGAATATATATGTTAATTGCTTTTTCTTAATGTTTCAGGTTCTTTGAATATATATTGCTCTACAAAGATGCGGTGATGTTTCAGATTGAACAAGTTACAAAGCTTTGTTCAAAGATTGCTCTGACAGAGCCATGGGATCCATATGATATTCCTGCCAATTCAACTTATGAAGATCAATACTACATTGGGGGACCTGGAGATGAAGTTATGGTACAGGAATGGTCTGACAGAAAACCAGCCAGGAAATGTACGTGCATGCTTTTGTTTTATTTTAATAATAATCAATGTCTCTGCTGCACAAGGAAAAATAAAATTATTTGTGTTTCACCCCAGGTTTCCATATTTCTATAAAGTTCTCTGGAAGAAGTAATGAAAATATCCTGTGCACAGAATATTATTTTAATAACAATGAGGTTTTTCAGGAAAATTTCATATCTCAGCAGGATTAAATATGTTCAGGGGACTTGATTGTGTTGTATTTGGTATCATACAGAGTTTGGCATGGAACAGCATAATTTCATGTCTGAATCTGGCAGCCTGTATCAAAATTTATCTAGAGAAGAATTGGTACTATCATTAGGGGCACACTCGAACTAGAGTCTAACAGAAACAAAGCAGGTGTCAGTGTTTGTCTACACATGGGTCTGCAGCCACGGAAATCCTTAATAAGTGCCTAAATTTTGTTGTGCTCTATACTGGTAAGAAATATCTGCTCACAAGGCTTAGTTCTGCACTTGGCAGCTGAATACTTGCATGATAGAAGAAAGGAGGCTGAATTTTCCAAGGTTTAGTATGATAGATTTTGAATGCATAGAAATTTATTAGTACTTTGGCTTCAGTTTCATCTATGGTTTATTGATGACCCAGACAACTATAAAAATAATTTTAAAGCCTCAGTGAAATTTATGGGACTATTCAGCTAATGCAAATACTTATGGTTATGGACATCTAATATATAGAGGCTGGTTACAAACTTGATCATTTAGCCAGGGGAAAATATTTCTTTCTTGAATAAAAGTAGAACAAATGAAGTAGAGAATGAAAGATAAGATCATTAAGCCTCTGTAACTGGGTTGATACATCCTCTGATATATTGCAAGAGGCAAATTATCACTCACTCCAATAATTTTTTTTTTCAGATCTGATATTTTTGGAATTTTTGTGGAACATTATATCCAGATACATTAAATTAATGATGGGTGATTTTTATCCTGTATTATTTTGTATCTCCAGTGCTTTTCTATGTGATCATTCATAAACATTATGTCTGAAAGTTACATGTCTGCCTATATACCTTTCAGCTAGTATTGGTTTGGATTGTAAAAATTGTATTTATTTTACAATTACAAAAGTTTTAGGGGAGATACAGGCCACTTATATCTTCATATTTAACCATGATTTTTATTCTAAATTCTGAGAGAAGACTTGTTTGGTAAAAGGTTGCCTCCTTTTCTATGTACTCAAAACCATATTAATTGAGGTCAGAATGGTTTTGGTAAAGTAGCATGCTCAAAAGAGGTATATTCAAGTATTGTTTAACCTGCCACCCTTTCTTTGGATACAGAATATGTGTTTCATGTCACCATTTATTTATTTCTGGTAGTGTGGTTGTGATACAGGCTATGACACAAAACTGAAAGTACTAAAAACGAGTGTGTTTGATTGCTGCTGGGTGGGAGAAAATAAGTGTCCTTGGGACTAGAAAAATTTGTCACAGGCATTCCTCTGTGAGGACCTGATTTATGATCACAGTAGGCAATTTTAATATCATGAGTTTCTGCTGCCAAGAGATCTGAATAAAACAATGGGATGGAGTGTGATTGAAGGGGTAAAGAATGAACACAGAAGGTGTCTGTGAGGTTAATAAGAGAGAGATAAAAGTGAAGTGTATTCACAGGAAACCGCTTCAGTGGTATTACTGCCACTGCCTAAATAGCATAGTGGATAGAGGTGATGACAGAGAGTAAGGGGGAAAGAGAGAGAGGGAACACCTCTGAGATTAGCACACTGTGGAATTAAACTGAAGTTAAAAAGGGACAGACATGCTGCATCACATACCTGGAGGCATTGAGTGTAGTCTTGAGATAATGAACTACTAGAAGTGTTTGAAAAGAGTAGGAATTTAAAAAAAATAAAATGATAATGAGAATCTGAATAGACATTGTTAAACAGAAGCAGTAAGTTAAAAGAGACTGACATCATCATGACCCATTCATCTTGTCTTGTCACCTAAATTAGTCACATTTCTGGTTGGTTGCAGTGGAATCCTGGGTCGGCGTTTACACCGTCAAAGACTGTTACCCAGTACAGGAAACCTACACCAAGAACTACAGCGTGACAACCTCCACTCGCTTCTTCGACATCCATCCGGGCATCACAGACCCCTCCGTGTTCACCCCACCCAGCACCTGCCAGGCAGCCCAGCTGACGAGGATGAAAGATGAATGCTGATTACAGACACTGGCTGCCCTGGGCAGACGCGTGTTAGCCAAGAGGATGGTTATTAGTAGTCAGTTGTTGACTTCTAAGCTGATTTTTCAAGCTAATTGTTGCTCTTTTTGGAATTCTTAAGTTTTCACTTGAGAGAGAAAATAAGCTTATAACTGAGTAAAATACATAAAACAAAAGGTATCTTTCAATCACATTAATCTGCTCAGTGATGCATTTGCAGTATTATATAGTTACCATTAAGATAATATTTATAGGTACTATTTATTTAAGGTTGATTTTCCTTTTGCAAAGATTTCATTATTTATTTTTTCAAGAAGACAAAGCAGATAGCAGCAGTGGTACTGCCTAGAAGAAAAAGCTAAATTTTGTTGTCATTGTTGCTACTTTTGGAGACTTCAGGGGAAAGATGTCCTGCATAAAACTTCATCCCTAAGTGAAAAATATCATTTTAAACGATATGCATCAAAATTACCTACATTTGTTGTTTGGGTTTTATTTTGCTTTGTGTTCTGTTTTTGTTGGGGTTTCGTTTTTTTTCTGCTCTTCAGGAAGCTGGTAGTCAATTTTTGAGCTAAGTTTTGTTTTTCTGAAAAGAAACTGGAGTAGCTTTATTCATTTAATGCTTGCTGACATGCAAAAAATACTTTTCTGTTTCTTCGGAGAATGGTGTGAAAGGAAGGGAAGGAGGGAGAGGTACACCTTCAAAAAGAAGTAAGCCAAAGTTTTTATGCATCTTCCTTTTGGAAAAGGTGTCCAGTAGGGTGTGTTAAGACAACTTTACTTCAGCACTCACTCTTCACGGCCATACTAGTTTTAACCTATGCAAAGGGATTAAACAGTACTGCACTCTAAATGGCTTTAATGTTTTGTTACTACTTCAAACAGTGTTTACTCAGGGTGTGGTTAACACCTTTATAATTCCAGAGAGGTTTGAAAAAAGAGAAGCTGTTCTTCGTGCATAGTTAGTAAAGGCTGAATCAGCATTCACACAGTGCCTGGTGGTCAGGATGGAGAGAAAGACAGAGCCTGTGACCTGTGTAGAAAGGCGGGAGGGAAGAACGGGAGGCACGGGTTTTAGATGTTCTCTGTGCAGTGTGGCAGTGAGGCACTGCAGTCTAAGCAGACATGACAACCTTGCTTTCTTTTGCACCCACTCCATTGATACCTGTTTTAATTGCTTTTTCATCAGCATCTCAATCTTATTATCTCCACATAACCAAAAAAGTTCAGCAAGTGCACATATTTTGCTTTAGAAAGTTCAAACCAAACCTTCATGCACCTTTGAGACTCTCAGAAGTGTGATGGGTTTTGCACTTTTACCAAATGGCATTAACTGGTTTATTCTGTAAGGTATGCATTTCATTACTTGCAAATAAATTTAAAGACAGATTCTTGTCTTCTTAACACATGTTGGGTTGTTGTTAGCTCCAGAAATGATCTGGCTCTAAACAGATGTAAACACTGGGAAGTTTGGTGTCTCCAGAGGAGAGATACTGGGCAGGCTTTTAGTGCTTGATATACACATAGCATTTTGGACGCAAGCAAGTGGGAGAGTGGTTGTTTTTCTTTCACATTCTTTGTGGTCAGAATGGCATTTTACTTTGCCCCATGCCTAATGAAAGCACATATACATACCAGTTAAAATTTAGCTAGTTGATTAAAAATTTCTCTTGGAGAGGGCCATTTCACTGAAACACACTAGTGGAAAGAAGGATTTGGTTTCCTTGAATTTAGAGTGCACTTATTCTGTACTTGCCTTCTGTATTTTTTTGTGTGACACTCTAAATGCTAACTGCATATTGTTCTCATTAGGACAATGATTAACATGCATTTCTTAATATGTGTCTTGTTAGAATCTGGAAAATATAATAAATCTGGCTAGCAAGCATGAAGCTGTGGTACTGAATCGTTTGGGATGGCTTTGTTGCGGTCAAGCAGATAGCTGGGTAATCAGGGTGTCTGTATTATGTTTTGCTGACAGTGATATAGTTTCTAGCAATAGCATTAAATGTTCCTTTAAATATGAATTTGCAAATTTGCAAAACTCTGGTACACAAAAGTGCTTTCAAAATTTTGCCCTGACTTACAGGGCAGTGTTAAATGGCTGAATATGTTCCTCTAAAACAATGGGGTTGTCTTCATATTTATGCTCTACAAATCCAATGCAGAGAGTTGTCAAAAGAGATATCAAGCAGCTAAAGTTAGGATTACGTATTTTGAATTAGCCACAAACCAAATATGAAGCACAACATGAAAATGCCTGGTTTGTTATCTCTGTTATGATGTGCTTTGGTTTGTTGCTGCATACCACAAGAGACATTTTGTCTTCAGGCAGCTATGCCGGTGACTCAATGAGAAGGAACATAAAAGGAATATAAGGTAGCTATATAGTATGCTGCCACAATTGAATAAAAATGGGGGGTTCATATGTCCGATAGTCTGGGAAACTTGTTTGTCACAGTTATTTGGTAAAAAATTAATAATAAATCGGTATGAACATGAGTTATATTGTACTCTGTGGGGTTACAGCAGAACCTGGTAGCTGGATAGTCTGTGAGGCATAGCCAGTTTTGTGTGATTTCCAGTGTTTCCTGGTTTCAGCTGGGCCAGAAATAGTGCAAACATAGATGTGCCTGCCATATTTTTGTGTTTCTGCTTGGAGTCTTTGCTGAAAGCAGGATGTGTAGAAACACAACATTGTTTAATTTAAAGTTAACCAAATATTCCTGAACCTCAAATAAGGGTTTTGTTTGAGTTTGGGGAGGAGATCTGGGCATTTGGTTCAGTTCCTATTTTAACAGTTTGCTTAACTCTAGTATTAGGGACAGATTTTGCTGCCTCAGGCCATGCTGCACACCATGGAAGTGCTGCCATATACAAGGGAATGCCAACTTTCATGAAGAACATAGGAAGAAGCACAATAATCCATTGTCAAAGTCCATTTTAGTCAAGGAATCTCTAAACAGTATGATATTCTTAGTTTGGGACATTAACAAAATCAGTGTATTTCTCACCTTGAAGTTAATTGCATTTTAGTGCTTCCACTTACTCCTTGCAAACTTGCATCTCTTTTCCCACCACCCTTTACTTCCTAACGTCAGTGAAGTTCACTTCCAAACAGTGTTTGCGACACTCGCTTGCATGTATTTCAGTAGGAGCATCTAAATACCTGATGAATCTGAGTTGGATTTGACCTATTTATTTTGCCAGCAGTTCTATCTCAAGGGCAAGGGCAGTGCCAGCCATATGTGTGCAGCATACACTGAACTACATGTGGGTGTCCAACAGAGAGACCAGAGTTGGTTCATGTGCACTTGCTGCTGTCCCAAAATACCCCAGTAATTGTTGATGAGAGGTCTTGGCATGTGTGTTGTATCACATTCTGCATCCTTGGCCACAAACTGATGCTGGAGGCAAACTGCAGGATGTTCCCACGTGATAGAAAGGTACATCACGAGATCATCAGTAACTTACTCCCTAGCTGTAAGGAATAAAGATTTCAAAAGGGCACCCGCACAAGTGGACAGCAGTCCCTGACTATAAAGATCTGGAGGTCACGGTCTTTCCAGAAGGCTGCATGTATGGCATGAACTCAGACACAGATTTAATCTTCACATCTGCACTTAGACGTAGGAACAAATGAAGTAAGCTTGGAAAACTTTTTAAACAATCCTGAGCACTTGCTGCTTTGTAAGGGGAGAGGAAAAACCTTAGGATGTAGTCAGTAGTCCCGGAAAATGGTCAGAAATGTAGGACAAGATGCTGCTCTGAATATGTTGCTGTAAATTTCCAAACACTTTGAGTGCCTCCTAATTCAACATACTCCAAGGTAAAAATCCATGTGGTTTGTTATGGCTGTTTCAGCATAAAACCCAAAACTGCATCCTGAATGAAGTGATGCACATAGCTGCAGTATGGTATTTTGTTTGAAACAAAGATAAATAGCCCAGCACTGCGCATTTTGCAGGTGTGAGTGCATGACTGATGCAAACTGATAAACCTGTGTGTTTATCTACAAGAATGTGTGTGCTTTTAAAAGAGTGCTGCCTGCTGCCCTTGAAGACTAAAGAATTAATCTTCTCACTACTACATCCATAGGAATCTACTTTAGACTCCTTTCTTTCCCACCGTGCAAAGTAGGAACAATAATTCTGCTTTCCACCTCCTCTTGCCTTCCTGATTGTGATAACTTTGGGCCAACACCATTGCCCCCACCAGCGGGGCTCTCAGAGGCCTGGTGGCATTGTGGCAGTAGCACCAATGTCATGGAGGGTTCCCAGCCCCTGCCTTACAACATGGAGTAAAATTACACGTGTATGTTACGCGTCTGGGCTTACCCTGTGTGCCCCTGTGCGCTCGCTCCATGTGCAGGGGTGTTGATCGTGCCCTCCACACCCAGCCGTCACTATTAATTTGTCTCTGCTCAGGCTTCCATGACGCCAGGCAAAGGGGCTCGTGAGCAAAAAGGAAGGAGAGGAAATGAAAGGAAAACCTGCTGGGCTCACCCTGCTCCCCGCCAAGGTTTTTCCCACGCTTGCTCAGGGCTGATAAACAGCTTTGACGTTCCTGAAACAGCAGCAGCTGAGTTGCCAGCTCTACGTCACAGCCCATGTCACGCTGAAGGAGAGGGTTGGGTTTCACCCTCCACACTAAAATTATCCTTCAGGCCAGGCCAGTGACTCAGTTTTGTTTTCCACGGAGAATGCATGCCCGCTGCCATCACCTCTGCCACTGCTGTCCCAGCCTGTCTGCAGGGTATGTGCTCATGGCTCCTGCCCCGATCCAGCAGTCTGTGACAGCCCCTGTGTGGCCAGACAGTGCCCACTGTCCCATCTTCATTCTTCAGGTCTGTCAGGAACCTCGCTGTACCCTCACACACAGCAGACAGGTCTTCTCTGCTGTCCTATAAGCCTTTTAAAGTTGTGATAAAAGTCCTTCCTATCTTTCCATTGCCATGCCATTTTGAAATTAATTTTTTATGTTCTTTCTTCACCTGTTTCCTTTTTTCTTGTATGACAGCTGCTTCTGTTAATTTGATGGGGCAATTTTTCATATGGACATTGAGTTTGGGGTTTTTTTACCATAGACTTGGTGCCATTAACCATTGTTCATTGCTGCAATACCCCATAATCGGTGACTTGTATAAAGAAGGATATTCTTGATCCTGGCAAGAGCACAGGAGGTGGAAATGCTGAAAGTAATGATGAGTGACAGTGGAGATACCCTTACTAGTGGTCCAAGTGACTACCAACTATGATGAGAGTGTTAAAACTCTGGGCTCTGCAGAGTGTCTAGATACTTAACCTCTAGAAATACACCACATCTCTCCAAAGGAGATGGGGAACTATGCTCTATGCTGGGCAGCCCACATTGCTTTTACTTTATTAAAGATCCTATACTAAATCCTGTATGCATGGCCATAATTCATTCTTGAGCAGTTGCTTCATAGAGAGAGAGACAGAAAAAAAGGTGTTTTCTCCCAGCCTTCTTTTACAGAAATGATGTAGAAGTTATTTTCAGAAAATGTTGACTTTTGAATTAAAGAAATAGTATGTAGAAAGCTCCAAAGATTCTTCATGGAATGAATGCTGTACCTACAAAACAATATGTAGTTTTAATACAAAGTTTTTCAGCCTTAGAACTGCTTTAAAGTAAATAAATAATGCAGCTTGTCAGAAGGACTGAACTCTGAACAATCCCTCTCGGCTATCATTCAGCTTTGAAAGAAGCTGCTTCTGTTGTAGGCTTGAAGAGGAGCTCTTGCCTAAAGCTGGCTACTTTTGCAACCATACCAATTCAGCTAATTAAAGACATTGTCTCTTCCTGCAGACCCAGTCCTGTCAAAGGAATGGGGTGTCTTTACTTGTGTGTTGGCTCGGTACTCTGCAGATTTCCAAAGAAATGTGATGTTTTATGCCAGCACAGGATCTGTTCTGAATCCTTTCTTTTGTCAAATGTGCCTGCTTGAACACAAAGGAGACTATGAGCAACAGGCAGTGTCGCTTACCATGGGAGAAATCTCACCCAAACAGAAGACATTTTACCCTGTTTCCAGACTGCTGGGACATTCTAGACTGGAAATCTCATTCAGAAATCTGTTAAGTTCATGTTTCATGTAGGTGAGAAGGGGAGAAAAATAGCAATAATAGAGCAAGGTGAAAAAAGAAATTAGATAAGGCAGAATTAAAATATGCCAGCAGAGTGGTAGCCGAAAAAAACAGTCAACCACACCCCAAAGAAAAGAAGCAGTGGTGAGGGAGGAAAAAAGGAAGAAGATGAACGATGTTTGCCTGCTCCTTTCCAGCTTGTTTTATGAATTTATAGAAAGGACATTAATTATGGAACCCAAATTCAAGTTCAAAGTCTCCTAAAAATCAGCATTTCTTTTTGGGCAATACAAATCCCTGAAAGACCTGACCAGTCTGACAGAGCACTCGTGGGGTTTGCTCACCCAGACAATGTTCACTCAATGCCTGATGTCCATACAGGGACCAGTGCTTGCTCTTGGGTGCCCTGCAGAAGGAAGGAGGCCTTGGATGGATTTGACCTTTCATGCTTGCTTCAGGGAAGCACCAAACATTTGCACCTCCCACTGAAGTGAATAGATTAGGCGTGAAATAATCTCTAGCCAGTGGAGGTAAACAGTCGGCACTTACGACCCTGTTCTTTCAATTCCAAGAAAAGTTTGCTTAACAGAGCTGCTGAATTTGGACCTTGAAAGCGCCCAACACCCTTCCATTTAATTTCCTCCTTGTGCTAGCTCACACTGCCAAAATGATATTGTCCTTAGGATTATTTGTTCCAACAGTCTCACTCTTACAGATGTGGACGAAGAGGACTGATGGGTCCCCATGGGAAACATTAGGAGTACTAATCAGAGGACAAAGTCCAGAATGAAGCAAGGCAGGACAAGTTCCTGTACACCTGCTGCCTCTCCCATCACTGAGCCACCCGAGCTGGGCTTGTGAAACAGGCAATCACAAAAGCTAAGCCACAGGAAGCAAAGAGTTATTGTGCTTCAAAGCCTGGGGCTCAATGTTCCCTATATTAGAGCAGCTCTAGCATGATGTCAGATGTGTTGCTCACTAACAAAATCTCTCCCTTCAGAGGATCTTTTTCAACAGTAGGAGGAAGTGTTGGATATTGCCTCAATGGTGAAACATGTCCCTGCCAGCCAAAAGCACCAGGCAAGGGTGGCCAAGCACAATACATCACTAAAACTTCCTCCTTTACTTCTATAGCAGCTGCCTGAAACATGGCTGGCAAAGGGCTGTAGAGGAGGAAGACATACATGGTGTGTATTTGGTCAGGTGCCTTGAGCACCACAGTGAACTTTGGGCCACCTGAACCCGAGGGTGTGAGCACAATCGCTGCACTCCAGTGCTGTAAACAGCACTTGCTTTGTACTGAAAACCCTCACACTAAAGTGTCCTGCTACGTAACAGCAGCCCATATTAAAACATTTGGGATGAGACATAAACCTCAGATCAGGCCATCAAT